GCCATATTGTAGGATCGATGTTACATCAGCATTCTTTTCTTTGTATCTCATTAAATTTTCCAGTTTCTTAATACTTTGCTTAGCTTTTCACTTTTCTAATCGAATTTAGGCGTCACATTTTCCGTCATCTAGTAAAATACTTCCTAGATATTTTTCTCATTCTATGGACAATTGCAGCTCTTTAAAGATAAAGTATATTTCCTCTTTTTTCTTTCACCTGTTTTAACAAATGAAAGTCTTAGAAGGGAAAAAATGGATGTTCTTTTAATGAAACTTTAATACGTTATGTATGTGTAAAAGTTTGCGGGCACTTCTGTTTTGAAAATTAGATATTGAATGTTTTTAGAGGTCATGTTCCTTCAAGACGTAGGTGATTATGGCTCTCCATCATCACCCTTTGTATTATCTGTGAATTACCATGATTTCTTCGGAAAAATAACAATGTGCTTTTCTTTTGCCTTCTCCACGGTAAGGAATTCAGAATTTTATTTCTCTTAGAGCGGTTGCCACCAAAAGACTAGTATACCCAACTATTTAATCCATAGTTGAAGGAAGACGAGATCGATTCCTGCCTATCCCAAAAGGTTTAATACAAAAGTTAATGCAACTCACTAGGCTGTAATTTGAACTTAGTTCGCCGAATATTCTTTGCGCGCTGATAACCGCTAAGCGAATGGCATATCCACAGACAATGAATACAGAGTTGCAAATTGTCTTTTTAAGTAAAAAATGATCGAATTATTTTGCACATACCTAGTATGTTTGAGATAATCAAATTTCTTTGGTAATTGATTTACTTTCGAAAGATTTCTTAGGCTTAAAAATTTAATTTTCAATAAATATGGCGTCAATGAGATAACTATAAAACTATAAACAGTGAGTAATGATTTTTGTCACAATGGTTTCAGGCAATTCTCTTGCCAAGAAGAAGTCAACTTAAAAGCAAATTTAATATTATGGCAGTTTGATTTTGTAAAAGCAGCGTAGTATAATTTACTGGCTTCCAAATTTAGCATGTTCAGCGTTAATCGATTATTCTGCAAAGAATGCAGTGGCCGCTGCCAACCGGTAAAGAATTGGCTTGAACGCCCATTTTCCTCCATTCGAATGTAATCAGAATTAACGATTACATTTACTTATATGATTGGAGAAAAAATTTTCATAAGAAAATAAGAAAGATTGCGAACAAATTTAATATCGAAAGTGTGTAAGTAAATAAAATCAAATTATCGAGCCAATAAACTGTCACAGATCGTCTGGAGTTAAAATAGGAAAACTGAAAAGAAATTCAAGAATTTAAAAAAATACTAATTGAAAGTTAAAACAAGAGAAAAATCTAGGGAAACGATGGTTAATTTGCGCTCAGTGTCCATGTCTGGCTAAAGAATGAAAAAAAAAAAGGGAAAATTGTACAGAATATATTAACGATTTTCTCGCAAAGAATTTCATGAGGTGTCGTCTGCTAGAAAGAACAAAAAAATGTCCGCCTAATATAAACAATGAAAATTCTGTGAGGAATCCAAATGGAAATAGATATGCCCTGGAGACGATAGATTGACTTTCAATTACATTTTGTTTATTGGGTTATTTTCCTGGATTTAGAATTTGCTCTTCTTGCACTATTCGTATTTTGAGAAGTGGTTTTAAAAATAGGTTCTTTCATATTTTAGTTTTCATGTTTTATTCTATTCAGTATGTATTTTTCTGTTTCAATTGCATTTTGCATGCTTTTTTTCCTTTTTATCCTTTCTAATCTTGATTCATTTATTTTATTTTTAATTTAAAAGTAATTCATTTTCATTTTCTTCCGTGTTTTATAATTTCTTTTTTTCCTTCTTTTTCTTTGCATATTTTCTTTTTCAGTTTTTCTTTTTGTACTTCCCTGATCTTTTCATTTTACTTTCACTCTACATTATCATTGTACTACCACCTTCTTTTCATTGTTTTTTCATTCAACTTTCTCTTTTTACTTCCCTGATCTTTTCATTGTTTTTTCATTCAACTTTCTCTTTTTACTTCCCTGATCTTTTCATTGTTTTTCATTCAACTTTCTCTTTTTACTTCCCTGATCTTTTCATTGTTTTTTTATTCAACTTTCTCTTTTTACTTCCCCATATCTTTTCATTGTTTTTTCATTCAACTTTCTCTTTTTACTTCCCTGATCTTTTCATTGTTTTTTCATTCAACGTGTACTTCCCAGTTCATTTCATTTTTCTCTCATTATATATTCTTTTTATACATCCCTGTACTATTGATATTTCTTTCAATCTACTTTCTCTTCGTATATCTCTGTTTTATTCATATATTTTTTTCATTTTACTTACTCTTTGTAAATCACCGTTCTTTTCATATTTATTTCATTCTACTTTATTTTTGTACAAAATGTTATTTTTTCATTTTTTTCCTTCTGCATTCTCTATGTACTTCCATGTACTTTTCATTGTTTTTACTTCTACATTCTCTTCAAACTGCATGTATTTTTTTAAACTGAAACAGACAGGAAATTGTTTTAAAACATGACCAAATATAATTAATAATAGAGATTCTTTCTAAGAATTATCTTGCTTAAATTTGCAGCGCTAACTAAAAGTCAACTGATTCAGAAAGGTATGAGAATATTTATATGAAAATAATTGTAGCAGTTTGATTTTAAATTATAACAGCTTCTATGTTGTTTTATCTAACGACTCCGGGACTTTAAGTCATAGTAAAACAACTTTTTATTTATTAGGTTGTCGTATAAATTCTTGATTTTTCATTTAATTCTATCACTCATCAACCATTTTAAGAAATTGGTTCATAATACAAACCCATAAACAAAAGTTGTAGACAAAGAATAGTATGAGAAAAACAAAAAATTACGACAAAAATAGTTTGCGTTAATACGCAAAATATTTTTGTCGTAGTTTTTGTTTTTTTATATAAATAACACTAGAAAACAGAATGAATTTATCTGACAAGCCAATATTTCAAGGAAAATACCTTTGTGTTTTCTCATTTTAGCATTCATACTATTCAGCCGAGAAAGTGTAATCGGTGAACACGGTTCAAATTCAAGTCTTGTCTGTTGTGTTCCTATACAAACTCTTTTGTGAATGACATGAATTTATGTCGCCTCTCACACTTGATTGGTTAAATATCATAGTAAACTGGGCTTTCCTGTCTTGGGTGGCGATCAATCTAGGAAAAGCATATAAAATCAACAATCTAGAAAGTATTGGAAAATAATTTCATTATATTTAACAAGAAGACATAGCAATTCACAGAAAATAAATAATACAACGCTGCGTAGGACAATCGTCATCTACGTCTTTAGAGACAGATACTGACTGTGATATATATATATATATATATATATATATATATAAACTTATATATGTATATAGTTATAAACTGATTGAAATATATATATATATATATATATATATAGAGAGAGAGAGAGAGAGAGAGAGAAAAGGAAAGAGAGAGAAACAAGTATATGTCGATATACACTGCGTGCCAAATTATTATTGAGATAACTTTTTTCTAATATTTCAAAAACCATCCAATCAATTCAGACAAAATTTTCACACAAAATTTTCACACAATGTTGGCAACACTGACCTGCGCAATCCCAGAAATTTTCGGACTGATCTGCGCAATGTAAACAAACTGGCGCCATATTTGTTATCAACACGGTGATTTAAGCGTGCCAAATTATTAGAAAAGTATAAGAATTTAGTGAAAAGATGAGCCGTAAAAGCAGTTTAAGTGATGCTGAAAAGAAAACTATCACCTCAGAACTCTCAAAAGGTAAATCTACCCTAGAAATTTCTAAAATGATAGGGAGGTGTCATCAAACAGTGAAAAAGTTCACTGCCGACCCTACAGAAGTACGCAAAAGAGCAGATAAAGGCAAGCTGAGGGTTATTTCACGTCGTCTCATGTCACGACTTAAACGGGAGGCCACGAAGAACCCTGGACTCACCAGTCAAGACCTTTTCAGTCGCATTGGGATACTACTGTGTCTAAATGTACTCGGTGTCGGTATCTGAGGGAAATAGCAACAACAGTCAAACCTGTATCGAAGCCTCCGTTGACGAGAAATCACATTCAAAATCGATTGAAATGGGCCGAGGACAATATGAAGATTGACTTCTCTAAAGTTTTGTTCACAGACGAAACTCGAGAAACACTTGATGGGCCAGATAGATGGTGGAAAGGCTGGATAATGAACGGAGAGAATCGCCATCAGCATTTGAGACGCTAACAAGGCGGTGGAGGCATAATGATCTGGGGTGGTATTATTGGAAAAACATTAGTGGGCCCATGGGGAGTACCAGATGACGTCAAAATGACTGCTGATGCATACATAGCGTTTATGAAGGAGCATCTTGAACCGTGGATGAAAAGGCAAAGAGTTGCCTTCAGAAGGACCATTGTTTTTTATGCAAGATAATGCTCCCTCACATGCTGCTCACAAGACTACTGAATATTTGAAACAGTGAGGCTTTGATGAACTTCGAAAAATGAAGTGGCCAGCAAATTCTCCGGATTTGAACCCAATCGAAAACCTTTGGAGCATCATGAAGCGAAGAGACGCCAACGGACGACCAACAAGCAGATGATATCCAGATGACATTAATTAACAAATTCTATGGATCGTCGACTTCTTCAAGCAATTTCAAAACGGGGAAAGCACATTCCCTATTAATTTGTTTAAAACTGTGCCTTTGTTTGTATATATTATTATTTGTTTGATTATCTTATTTATTAGCTTCTTTTGATTATAAACATTCAGTGCAACATTAATAAACGTATTGTTTGCTCAATTCTGGGAATTTTATTAAACCTTTTTAATAATTTGGCACGCTCAAATCCCTGTGCTGATAACAAATATGGCGCCAGTTTGTTTACATTGCGCAGGTCAGTGTTGCCAACATTGTGTGAAAAATTTGTGTGAATTGATTGGACGGTTTTTGAAATATTAGAAAAAAGTTATCTCGATAATAATTTGGAACGCAGTGTAGAATGAGATAGATAGATAGATAGATAGATAGATAGATAGATAGATAGATAGATAGATAGATAGATAGATAGAAAGAAATGAGCAGCCTGAGAAAGAAAGAAAGAAAGAAAGAAAGAAAGAAAGAAAGAAAGTGGTGTTTGTATAGAAAACTGCTACGTTTTCATCACGTGTGGAACATATTTTCATTTAAATGAGTTCATTTTTTCTGTTATTTCCTTTCTCAAGTTCTTTATCAACAGATTCCTAGAGTTGCCACATTACTCTGATCTTATCCCAATAAGTTAAAATTAGGGAATATGTAATTTCCGCATCAATCAGTAATGGTAAGTAATCCTTGTCTCACGAAAACCTATGAATGTAATGAGTTTAATCCTCACTGAGTATCAAATTTCTTTAATTGTGGCCAATGCTTGGACAAGTAAACATCTCTTAAGAACATTGTGTTTGTCATTTCTGTTTTCTTTCTGTGTAAAACTTCTGTTTATTTTTTCGTCTTGATATCTTTTATTCCATTCATCGTCCTTTCATTATGTTATTCCCTTTTCTTTATTGTTTCAGTTTTTCTTGCGGTCTTGTCTTTTATCCCTCATTACAATCTGAATACTTCGCCTCCTTTATAGTCAAACTTCACCGACATCTTATAAACCTTCTCCCGTCATTTATTCCATCCACCCATCATTATTTCATTCAATTTTTTTTTCAGAAACATTCTCTTACTGGTCTTAAGCGATCGTAGATTCGTTTCTTTAATATCTGTAAATCCTTGAATGGGCTTGCGAAAAGCCGTACTCTGGTTTTCCATTGCATTCATCATGAGTTTCCGTTGCATTTTCCATGGATTCAATTATCTTTCTCCGAGACTGTTAGTAAAAATAGTTTTCTGTCTTTAATAAAGGTATAAGTGCAAAATGAACACAACAGCTTCAATCAGAGTTTGGGTTTGGATTTATTTTGTGTTACGGTATATCACTCTCAATGGGTTATTTACGGCACAGCAACTACAATTGGCCACTCAGAGCCGGCAAGACCACTAGGTTAGGCTCGTATGAATTAAACATTTACATTTTGCTAGAAATCAGCTTGTACATCAGGCTTCACTTATGTATCCTCGTAAAAATGTTATTTTAGTATCTGTCTATATTTCTGAGATGAGGTATTATGGACACTATTTACATTATTCGGACTATTGATAACGTAACTGATATCCATTAAACATGACACGTGGAACTAGAACAGTCTACCACAGAGAACGAAATAAAGGGTTCAGTTCGACATTCCAACCACCTGAAGAAAGCCGGAGCGTATAACGGCCGAAACGTTGTAATAAATATGGTGACAAAAATGAGGACAATAGACCCAATAGTGTAAATAGTGTAAAAAGTTCTTTGTCAAGAGTCAAATGTATTGATAGTAATACACTTTTTCTCAAAAATACATTGCTACTAATATCACTTCTTTTTTTTTCCTTCAAAAATGCATTGCTGGTATTTCTACTATAAAAATGCACATCTACATTTTCCCAGTGAGCGGACCCTAGTTTGGGGGCCAATTAGCCGCCTATAACTGAAGCCCCAATAAGTGCCACCACTCCAGGTCAGGTCAGATCCTGGAACAACAGAAATTAAGAGCTGGTTCCCCTCTCCTCAAAATCTCCCGATCAGAGGCCTTGCTGCCAGATGTAGCTTGTTGTTATACCCAGGAACAACTTAACTGCTGATTATATCTTTTGTGCTGTTAAACAGTGCACTCTCCCTCATAAAAAATACGCCCCTACACACCAATATGCTCCCTGCATCTACAGTAATTTTCTTCTATGTAGCCGTGTCCATTCAGGACGTGAATGATCACGGCTCTTCATAACTTCCTATCCTTTGTAACTCTTAGTATGTTTTGTCTTTTCGCTATCCCTTCTAAAACCTGTTCAGTCATCCATTTACACATCTTGTTGGGTTTATTACTCACTGCTTCCCTCTACCCAACCTGTCCTCTTTCCTCATTAGGTGTCTGAGTAATTTAAACTTTCCCTTGCTAATTCTAAGTATAAGCGTCAGTTTTTTTTTCACTTTTCCTTAAAACTTCCTCACATGTACAATTCGTAGTATTCCTCCTTTTTTTCTAACCATATTTCTCTTGCCTCAAATCTCTTCGTTTGTGAGGAGAATTACGAAAGTAATAATCGATCCTGATTTTGTTTCTGTAATCTTATATCAAGAAAGACAAATACTAGTGACACTTTATCAGAAGAGATAAGAACAAAAAGAAAAGCATAGAATCACGCATTTTCAGCTTTCGCAAGTTTGGCCCATTACTATCTAAACAGAAAATGAATAAGTTATGTAGAATTGAACAATCAAAGCAGTCGATCCATTTAATAGAAATAATTGGCTGTTGGCTACAAAGAATGAGGTATTAACAGTCACGTTTTTCGATCGGTTCGCCATACATCGGTGTGGGAAGGCGAACTAATAGAATCGTAATTCCTCTGTTTAGGCGCCGTGTCTCTTCGGAACGTGATCGATTATGGTTCTCCACAGCTTTCTGAATTTTACGACTTTCACTAATATTTTCTCGATTGTGACTACTATTTCTGCAGAATTTGTACGGTTAGGTATTTTACAGCGTTTTTACGTCGCTACAGAATGTGACAGAAGGTTGAGTTTTGAAGTGGGTTTAACAACAATACCGCGAGAAAACTACCCGAACCTATGTGTGCCTCAGGCGCCGGGCAATAAAACCATAATATATTTGGTAAAATTTGTCAAGTATAGTACTCATTTCTTTCCTCTATTTCTTTTGTTATTGATGCGTCCAGTGAGTGCTAACTTCTCCAAGCCTTCTTTCCTTATTATACGTACTTTTTTTTGTATTCCCGTTAATATTTACTTTTTCGACGTATTAACGATATTCACAAAATTCGTCAGTAGAACCACATAGAGATAACATGAAATAGTTTTACATTTGGGATCACGCCGTAGATGTATAGGTGGTATAATAGATAGCGGCCTCTAATGTGCAAATACCCTTGGAATAGGTACGAATCTATATTTTCCCCCAGATATGGGTTAAATAGTGGGAGTTGTTTCTGAAAAAATCATTCTTAATATTTAAAATTTATTAATGCAATATTTGAAAAAATTATTCTTACAATCAAAAATATATTTCGGCTTTGAATAAGCCACAATAGATTGACAAGCCGTAAAAATGGAAACAATGTGATAACAATTGCGATATATTCATTGCTGAATAGGAAAGAGTATTCCACATCCGTCCATGACTATTTTTGTCGATTGTTAGTTTTTGATTCTATGAATTTAAAAAAAAAACAACTTCAACGTTTTTTTTCCTAAGTACTTAACACGTAATTTCGAACAGGTTAAAAAAAAAACAATTATTTTAAAAGAGTTATGTTACAAGAGTGCATAAAAGATATCTAAATCAAGTAAGAAAAAGGTACACAGACGAACAGGGGATCCTAGAGGAAGAACCTATGGTAGTTCTGTATGAGGTTTTTGATGTACCTATATCCCCGGAAAAAACGCTACAGTAAAAGAAAGAGACAGCCAACAGGAATGTTGGATCATAATCAAAAATGAAAAAAAAGTATAACTTCAAGAGGAAGTAAGCCTTAAAAGAGGCAATGTTGTGGCATGAGCCAGTTAACCTCCTTATTATCATGAATGGACTGATCCATTCCTGAGTCATTGTGGAGAAAGAAGAAGATAAGACTACTTCATTAACTTAGCTAGCTGAGTATTAAATACTACTATACCGACTGATTCAGTGTGTGTTTTGCCAGACCCCACATCACAGTATTGTGTGAATAAGGATGAAATATGAAATAAGAAATAAAAAATATATTGATAAAATTGCTGAAACTTAAATCATTAAAATTTAAGTGTGCGTGCGTGTGCATATATAAACACTGTAACAGAATTTCTCCCTCATCTTATTGTTCCACGGAAATGGGATGGCCGTTTACACCTGAAATGATGAGGCAAATAAGGATACCCGTCATTTGGGTCTTAGGGAGATCGTAGAGTTTTGGTGTTCTAGGGTGATATTCTATGAACCTAGACCACGATTTGTTTCCATTTATAATTATTTTTTTCATTGAATTTTTTGTTTCAGCAATTATTTTTTGTTCGTTTATTTTTCGTTTGTGTCCCTATCGTTGAGTAGTGATTTAGTTTTTTTCTGTGTATGTATTCTTCTTCATGATTACAATCAATCCTCTCTTGTCAGAGGGCGTAATATGGATTTCCTTATTTCTCGCTGGGTTCCTTAGGTGTCTTTTAGGTGTCTCAATGGTAATGTAACTTCATGTTGGTCTTTATAGTAACAGTAATTATGCCTTATATGAAAACTTCGCTGAATTCTGTATTGTTTTGCATTATGATTTTTTAATATAGTACTTACTTTTCGGATTCCGGTGGCAAATTTTAAACCAAAGCTGAGAGTTTTTCGTTTTATATTGGAAAGCGTTTTATCCGATAAATTTTCTATTAAATTAGACTTTCCGACACTTTTTTATTTGCTGCTGCTGCATGGGTTGAGGGTTTTTTTTTTGTCTCAGTTTGTTATTTCGAGTGTCACTCATTCGTTTGATAGTTTGGTGTTGTTCACTCATTTCCGGTTTTGTTATAACGTACTTTTTGTGCACTTGCATTCTAGCAGTTCTGGTCTTTTTTATTGTTTAGTTTTTTCCAGAACTTCTAGTTCTTTAGCAAATGCTTTTAGAAAATCGCATGCGTATGTTAGAAAAATGTGATGTGATGTTCTAAGTATTTTGTCCGTGCATTGTGGGATTGCATTTTCATCAATGCATTCCATCCCACGATGCACACACAAAATACTTAGAACATCACATCACATTTTTCTAACATACGGATGCGATTTCCTAAAAGCATCCGCTTGTTCAGCCACGGAAAATTTGCGTCCAGTCTCTTACGATGTATCACTTTTCTTGGCGAATATTCTGTTATCACAATATGGGATAATCGAGGATAACATTGATGGAGAGAAAAAGAAAACAAATATAGATGAATTTGGTTTGATTGAAAAAATATTCTTTCAAAAAATATTCTTTCATAAATATACTTTCAACCATTTTGAAACTACCAGCATCTCTCGTTTCGTGCCCATATGTAATCGTGATAACATCAACAAATCCCAGACCGATAAAACCG